TGCACTGCTCCAAAGTGTTGAGGGATGGAATCAAGTGCACCGAGAAATAGGGCGTCGTCGGACGAGGTGGTGAGGAGGTGAGGAGCGACATGGCGTGGGAACGATACATGGCAACGCAGAGCGATGCGAGCAGCTGCCTGTGCACAAGTTGTCGCTGGTAAAAATCGCGGGAACCTTCAACAACCGAAAGTTGGGTGTTTTTGGCTGGCTGCCATACGACGACGACATGAGCCGGAAGCGCCGCCATCGCGACGACTCGCCACCGCGCCTGTGGTCGTGGGACGAGAAGCTTGCGGCACTGCGCGTCTACCGCGACCGCTTTGGCACGTGCGAGGTCGAGCGGAGGTACACGGTGCCATGCGGCGACAGCGACTGGCCGCGGACCATGAGCGGGATGGACCTCGCGCACACCGTCGAGAGCTTTCGCACTGCGCCGACGCTGCCGCCATCGACGCTCGACGCGCTTATCGAGATGGGCTTTCCGTGGCGGGTCGGCGGCGGCGCGTCGCCCTGCGTGACGCACGTCAAGCGCCGGGGCGGGTACCTCCGCGTCGTCGCCTTTGACGACCAGATCGACGCCCTCGACATGTACCGCCACCTCTACGGCCGGCGCGCGATCGCGCCCATGTTCCTCGTACCACACCAGCACGCCAACTGGCCATCGACCATGTGGGACGTCGAGCTCGCTCGGGTGCCCGAGATGCTGGCCAGGCACGCGGTCGAGCTCTCGGACGCGCAGCTCACGCGGGTCCACGGCCTTCTGTTTCTGCGCCAGATCCCTCCGTGGCCCGCGCTCACCCAGCTCCTCACCGAGTGCGAACGCGACGTCCCGATCGACTTTGTCGTGCCGTACGGCTGTCGACATGCCGGCACGCCGCTCGGCGACCTCGCCTGGCAACTGCAACGCCGGCGGCCGCAGTTGGCACCTCTCCACCAGGCGTGGCTGGCGTCGGCGCGTATTTCAACGTCGTGGAAGCGCATCCACGAAGCATTGCGACACTACCACGTGGCGTATCCCGCGGAGCCCGTGCCATCGACGTTCGTCGTGCGTCGACGAGGGTGGCCACCGGCGCTGCGTGGCCTGCGCCTCGGATACTGGACCATGCGCGTCCTGGTGATGCACCGCGCGCTCGCACTGGACGCCAGCATCCTTTCGGCGCTGACGCCGTTCCTGACGTCGCCGCCGCGCGACCTCTCGGGTGTTGGCAGCGACATTGACTTGACCATCAGCGACGACAACAACGACGATCCGACACGAAGCGACGACGAGTTGGGCGCAGCGCGATGGCCAAGAGCAAGCGCGCAGCTCGTCGATAGCGTCGCGCTTCTTGGCAGCGACACCGACGATGCGACACGATGTCTGCTGTCGCCACGACTCGACAGTCCACCGCCTTTCCGCGCGCCCGACGACACGGAAACCTGCTCCGAGAGCGAAAACGACATGGGCATGGCGTACGATGCCGACGAGACAGAGGACGAAGCACCGCCCGCGCCGATGGTCCTCAAGAGCCATCCACTGCCGTCGACGTCAGTCGTTGCCACCGAGATGCAAGCACCGTCGTTGGATCAACCGTGGTGGCCCAAGCAGCGCCGACCGCCGATCCCACTTGCCTTGCGGCGAAAATCGTTGTCGATACCTGCCCAGACGTCGGTGCCTTGCACCGATATGTGTCCCGAGTCTCGTCCGGCATCGGAAAAAGCTCGTGGTGCATCAATAGACAAGCTCGCGCGACCCGTCGTGGCCCCGACAGTTGCGTGGAGTAAGGAATATATGATCGAAGAGCACTGGATCGAGCCGGCTGTCTCGTACAAGAGAGAGCAAAAGATCCCGTCGGCAACACCCGACGTACGGCAACCGCTGCCCGTTGCCGCCGCGGCGCAACTGGTCATTTGCACGCCGCCGACGACGACGTTGGTGGCGCCACCCTCGCAGCTTTCTGCTGTTCTTCTCAAGAGCGAGCATCCGACGCTCGCATTACCGCTGTCGACAAGAGTCATGCTCGATGCCTCTGCCCCGCCCACGCACAACAAACCAGACCTTGTCACTCGAAGTGACCGCCTCGTTCATGACGACACGTCCGGAAAGCCCACTGCCACCGTGTCGTCCATTGTGCCAACGTCCGAGCTGTCGATACCGCAAGCCGCGCCTGGCTGCGATGTCACTTCGTCGCTCCTTCCTGCCGTCGCTGCGCCTGCGGTTGCCGTCGATGCGCCTGCAGTTGTCGCGGATGCACAGGACACGAAGATTAAAGATGACGCGTCGGACGAGCTGCGCATGTATTCCAAGTGGGATCGGCGGCTTCTGGCGCTCCAGGTCTATCACGGGCTGCACGGGCATGTGCTGGTGCCGAGGGACTTTGTGGTGCCATCGGGCGACGCCACGTGGCCATCGGCGCTCGCTGGGTTCACGCTCGGTGCTGCTGTCGAGACGATCCGGGCGGCCTCTAATCGCTTGCAGTCCGTGCACCGGTACCGTCTGGACGTGATCGGGTTTGTTTGGGACGTCAATATCGCTGGCTTGTGGCGTGACGTTCTCCACGCACTCGAGCGCTGGACCCTTCGCCGCACAGGCCGGCGAATGACCGACGTCGACATTGTCGACGCGCCGGCCTCTCTCTCTGGCGGTCCCATCGGAAAGTACCTCACGCGACTCGACGTCGATGCGATCTTGTCGTTGCCGGCGCACCAGGCGCCGCTGCTCCGT